TATGGTTAAGCTGTAACTTTTAATTAATGCATTGTAAATGAAGTTGGAACAATAGCTTTAGATCTCTGATCTATCTTTCCAACGAGATATAATACGCCCAAACGGATAAACACACATCAGGATATGAGTGTCACAAATACTTAGCCTTATCTCTATGATTTAGCGTATTCAGCTAAAATAGAGCACTTTTAGCGTAAATACAGTGTATTTTATTAATTAGGAAATGATCCCTTGATATTTTGAAACCAGCGCCTGAAGACAAGTTTTAGAACTCGGCAAGATCTTTCCATCGAGATATTAAACGCTTTCAACGGGACAAAATAGAGCAAGATATGATCGCATCAAATTCTACACGAGTTCGGAGTGAAATCAGAAACATTTGTGAATATATGGTTAATCTGTAACTTTTAATTAATTCATTGTAAATGAAGTTGGAACAATAGCTTTACAGCTCCAATCTATCTTTACAACGCGATATAATACGTTCCAAAGGGATAAACACACAGCAAGATATGAGTGTCACAAATACATAGCCTTCACTACAAGAAACTGCCCTATTTGCGAAGGGAAAAGTAGTCGCAAAAACCTAAAAACTGGTCGCTAATTGTTAATTGCGACCGGAAAACGTGGTAGCGTGACAGTCGTTGTAGGCCTCGCCGCAAAAAGTATTTTGCGACCGGGAAAAACGATCTGTCGCTAAAAGCTTTTGGGACCGCATAAAATACCATCGCTAAAAATATTATTAGAGACCACTTCCTAAGACTAATTGTGACCGTTATCCCATCGCTAAATCTAATATATTCAGTCCAGGGTCATTGTTTGCGACAACTTAATTAGCGTATTTGCGACCACTTTCCCTTCGTTTTTATATTCCAAATTAATATGTTGAGTTTATGTATGCCAAACGTAACATAACATATAAATTTTGTATAGCAAATGTATGATCCAAAGCATATTATCATACATACTAAAAAGCTGAAAATTGATTTAAATATATATAAACATAACATCATTTCAAGTTCAAAACAAAACTAATATCATCATCAAAAAATTTAATCTATCATCTATGCATCATAATGTATCATAGATACCAATCACAACGTATCATAGATACCAATTTGTAGACTAACTATAAAATGTCTCTAAAAACCCCCAGCTCATGCAAGGCAATAAACATTAAATAAGGACAAATGACAAGTGGAAGTTCTTCGAATATTTATCTTTGCTTCCTTGACCTTGTAACATTTCTTTAAGCTTTTGGAAATCATCTTCTAATGCACTTAGGCGACTTTTCATGCTTTGGTTTTCTTCTTTCATGCTCTTATTTTCTTCTTCAGCTACCTGCAACCTAGCCTCAAGCTCACTCTTTTTAGAAGAAGGCCCCTTTAGATCTTTGCGGCTCACTCCACCTCCAAAACAAATGACATGACTACGTTGTTGAGGTCCAAAGCACTTCTCAATTACATCGACATGTGGCAATGATGGATTTGATTGAACCACTTCACGTATTTCTTCCTAATGTTTAATCAATGGAGTACATAAAACTGAAAAATTATAAAACAAAAAACAACAAGACATTGAAACTGTGTGCTCACATATTTCTGGATTGTTTCCGGTTCCACAAGTTGATCCTTCTTCTTGCGGGTTTCATAAAAAATAACATCCATATTCGGCGGATTGTTATCTTTTCCCCCCTTCAAATGTAAAAAGCACACGGTAAATATTAACTATTAAACTATGTATGCACTTGCTAAAACACCTTCATAGTTACTTATGGTATTAACCCCTTCATTTTCAACAAATCAAAAGCTCACCGGGATGCTATATAATTAAGGTATAGAATGTATTAATGGAGCCACTATCATTGATAGCATTCATGATAAGTGCATTTTGAACTCAGGATATATACCACGTATCAAATGAATATAAGAACAAAAACTTACAAGTAAACCTTGATACTTCTCTTGAACTTTAGAGCAATGGAGATACATCCTATACGCTCACTTCTATCCACCCAATATTGAGAGGTCAAGGTGAACTAAGAGCAGTAAACGGAACCTACAACTTTTGTGGCTTCCAGTTTATATCAGGCTATCCCTCTCCTCCCCAAACGCATATCAAAAAAGTATTCCAAACTCTCATTTCAAGTTTATATGATTATTATACCACAGCAAAATATTTGGTACCAACTCAAACTCCATTTAATTATGATTATCAGAGCTCATACTGTCCAAAGACTCCATAAATCATGATATGTGGACAAAAGTTAGGACTTCAAGTACGCTCAAACCCCAGGACAAGCAACATTATGAAATAAATGATCGATGAAAACAGCCTACATTAAGGACAGTCAGCAACATTTGTATATATAGGTAAACTAGAACCAATTCAAGAGATCTAATCTGAGCATAAAAAAGCAATTAGTTATATTGATTAACTACGAAACACTGTTTTTCTCTTCATCTAGATATTGTATATATAATCCAAACATACCATTTGAAAAATAAGCTCTCTGACAGGCTTGCTACCCATTCGATGTAGCATTGTCAAACGACTTCTATTTTTTGAACCTCTCTCACTTTTTGCCTGCATTTACATAAATAAGTAATCAATATTCATTGTCATAAAAACATTTCAAAATAGCAAATAATTTAGTGATCCAACATTCTGCTGCACTTGGTAATGGTGTAAGGAAATAGTTATTACTTTTGAATTATTCTTCAAAATATGATGTTAGATGAATTAAATAGAAAACTGAAATCTCAACAAAACACTGAAATCCATCATTAACCACATGAAGAATTCAGGAAATTAATTAGCAAATTCAGAGAAATAAGAAAAGCTAATTGGAGTACATACCTTATATTCTGGAGTGAAATAATAATTCTTTATTAACCATCCCCAATCTTCCTCAGTTACATCAGTTGGAACCTTTTTCAATGCTTCAAGTGGTGTCCTGTTTTTCACATATGCAAAATGCATCCGTCCTCCTCATTTGTTCCATAACTCCCGCATGTGCAAAAGAACATGATCTCGGTGATCCAAGAGATCAAAACCCTCAAATACTTCCTGAAATAATTTAAATTGGAATTAAACCCAACATTTTGTGGCACCCTAAATCCAAGCATACTTTGAAATTATAATTTAGTACACACATCATAAACGAATGAATTCATATTCATACCGTTACAGCATCCCACATGTGATTTTTCTTATCTTCATCGATGTCTGCCCATTCAGTCACCGTTAATGGACAAATTTGGCGGTTGCGGATTATTTTTCCTAAATGCCTCGAAAATGATTTATGATTTTCTCCAGCAACACGATTGTTATAGAACGTGACTTTGAGTTTCTCCCCCTTTTTCAAATTGGAAACTTCTTTACATTTATTTATTCCTCTAACCTTCTTTGTTTTATTTTTGCCAACTGAACCTGTAAACAAATATTACACACACACGCACACACACATATATATCATATTAGGATAACAACAAACTAAAATAATAAGACATCATTTTTAGGTCATTACCTTTAGCCTTTTCACTAGACAATAATGTCTTATGCGCACCCTGAGCTTCTTTTGGCATATCATTAGGCTGATTCAATGATTAATTAGCTGTAATAATTAAGACAAAAAAAGTGAGAAGTAAACTTAAAAGAAAGACATAATAAACAAAGTTGATATTTCCAAAATAAAATGAGTATTACTAAGCTCAGTGTTATGTTGTGGCAACTTATAAGATAAAGGTTGAGCTGTGCCATCCTTGTATAGATTAATGATTATATTTTCCAACCCCTGATGTTCCTTGAGCATATTGGCAACATCCTGATCGCATTTGAGTGGCATCCCATTTCCATCGGTTATTTTTATCCCAACAGAATAGATGTCAACAAACTTATGACACATCGCCAAAACATCCAGCAAACAACTATCTTCACTAAAATTCTTTTCACGGTATTCCGCTTCTCCAAAGCATAGAATAACTGTGTGGGAAGTGAAATCGCCTTAAAAAAACATCATTAGACCTGATCCAGATTCAAACTAAAATTAAATAAGAGATAAATTATACAAAATTATAAGTATGAGTACCAGAATCTGAAGTGATATTTTCATGCCTTTGATGCATTGGTTCTTTTTCAGCTCCATTAAAACTATTTATAGTGTGTTGGTATCCTTTTCTGATGTCTTCTGCTCGTGACTTATCCATATTAGTCTTATGAGAGAGCACTGATCGTAGCCCTTGTCCACGGCCTCTACCTAATTTCACAATATTATTTTGTTAGTCAATAAATCTTTACATATAAACACAAGAATACATATACATATATATAACCTCTGTAGTTGCTGAAAATATAACTAGTAAGATACCACATCCCGGATAACAAAAAAATAGTCCACAAGTATATCATATCCTCCAAAGAACTTAATGGAAATGTTTTATAGCCCGTTTGAAGTTCTTTTTTTCCTTGTATTTTTCCAGCCTATAACCAAGGTCATGGAATACTAAATGTTGTGAAACTAAAATATTTTCAGGAAAAAGAACTATGAAGTTCAATTTAGTTCTTTAAAACTACTACCCGCATCAATTCAGTTACTTAATAGGCCTAATATAAAAGCTGTACAAAAACAGTATCTTTATTCACCATGTCAAATTTAAGTGATTTAATAAAATCAGCTTGTCATAGTAGTACCTCTGGACACGCCATTCAAACTATTCAGTCTTTTTCTATCATCTTCAGCGCATTCCATGTTTGTCTTTTGCTCTTTCATCTGATCCATGCTATCTAAAAATTGAATAAGATAGTTATAAAAAATTGTAATACATACATATATATAAATGCCTAAGAAAGAACTACAAAGAATCACATGGATGAGTTAGAAAGATGCTTTGTTTGGAGGAGAAAAGCAATAAGGAATATCTAGTGTAAAAAGAAATAGGCTAAAATCTTTTCGCAAGAAGGGGAAGCTAAGCTAGGTGCAGAACATCAACGTACCACATTCCCAATCATCATTTTCATAAAATGAGGCATCTATACCCATAGTATAGTTACACAAAGGCGTTCCAAGTCCGCTGCCTAACATGGATAAAGTCAACAAAATAGAAAAACGTATTGTTGATCAAAGCGGCATAAAGACAATATTAGTACTCTTAATTACACCAAATTCTAGTGATATAAAAACAGAAAAAGGTCACATCACCACCTCTAGACATGTCATTCAAGTTGTTCGGTCTTTTTCTACCATCTTCAGCATGTTCCTTATCAGTTTTTTGCCTTTTCATTTGGTCCATGCTATCTACAAATTGAATAAGATAGTAATACAAATAAGATCATAAATAAATTGATTAAGATAACATTCCATTCTATCATTTTCTTCATGTTTGTTACCTGTTTTTTTCCTTTTCATTTGGTTCATCGTATCTGCAAATCGAATAAGAAAATGTACCAAAATGTAATATATACAATTGGCTAAATAATAGTGCAGCTATTCATTTTATTCATAATTGAAGCATGTATACCCATAGTATAGTCCCAGGAACGTGTTACAAGTCCTCCACCTAGAAGCAGCAATTATATGTACAGGAACAAATGAGTAAACAAAATAGTAATTTTTAAATTATGCCTAAATAGCAGCAATTGTAAGCATTATTAAATCAATCTTAAAAGCACCAAATATGCAGTAATGATATTAAAAAATAAAGAAACTTTAAGTAACTTAAAAGAAGCAAAATGTCATATAAAGTAGTATAATTAAAAACAGTACTATACCAGATTCCAAATTGGCACTTTCATGCATTGTAGCAAACTTTGAAGGCACCATAGTGTTATTAGAGAGCATTGGACTTAGCCCTTGTCCAAGCCCCCTACCCAGAATGCCCGGTTTAATGAATATTGGCTTTGTCGACTTTGCCATTCCAAGCCTATTTAAATTCATTTTGACCTGAAAAATATCAAACATTATAACCTTTAATATTATTGTTATTAGAGACAAATTAAATTAACAATAGTAAAAAAAAGAAATTAACAAATTATGAAAGTATTCACTAAAAAAACATGACCTGCACTAAAGATGTCTTTTTTTCGTCTTTTTTGTCTGTTTTGGTGCACTTTCACTCGTTGAGATTTGCTCCATATCACATCTTACCAAACTAATTTCACCTTCAGTACTAGACATAGTTGTAGGAACAAAATTAGGAGAAGATGATAAAGCATCTTGAACTGCTGCATTTAAATGGTCTAGGTTTTCAACATCATCTTCCATTTCCAATGGCATTGAATATGTGTCACGGGGTTGTACTTTTCTCGCAACATGCCAACCCTTGTAATTATTATCAATGGCATAGAAAACCTGGGAAACTTGGCTGGCCAAGACAAAGGGCTCATTCGTTTTTAGAATACGATGAAAATTAACACTAACAATCCCATATTCATCTATTTTAACTCCTCTTTGTCTATCATATACATCCCACCATTTACAACGAAATAAAACTACCCGTTTTCCTCTAAGATATTGCAATTCAAGAACCTCAACGAGCACCCCATAGTAATCAATGCTCTCAACATCAATACCATTTTCTCCTACAACGATCACACCACTATTCTGAGTCCTTAAACCTTTATCATGTTCCTCTATATGAAATCTGTATCCGTTGCAAAGGTAACCTTTATAACTTGTCACGTATGGGGTAGGACCACGAGATAGTGCAAGCAAGTCTTTGATTTCTTCGCTTTGATCACTTTTATGCATTTGAGACACCTATGTCCAAAGAAATAAAGTTTAATGCCTACTCTAACCAAATTAAAGATTATAATAAGGTGAAGAAATTTCTAGGGATGTACTTACTCTGGTCTTAAACCATTCAATGAACTGACTATCCCATTCTTTATCCGATAGAGTTTGTGAGGAAATTGCTTCAGTTTGTGAATATTCTCTATAAAATAAAAAGAAATTATTTGTTAATAAATGATATTAAAAACAGTTGGATAATACATTCAAGATGATAGGGCAGTCCTTACTCAAGAAAGGATTGGACTGCATCACAGTTTTTTAGAACATAGAGATGGGCTTGCTCAAGCTCATTCGGGTCCAAATGACATTGTCTGCCCGCCCCTAATGTTCTCCCGGGATGATTAAATATTTTCAAGCCACCATTAAACTCATTCATACCACCATCGAAATTGCGCTCAGAACGATTGAACTTGGTTTTCATGCCTTTTAAATATCGTGAGCAAAAGGTCATGCACTCAGTAGCTATATAGCCTTCTGCGATTGAACCTTCTGGACGAGCAGAATTACGAATCAGGGACTTCAACTGTAACACCCCCAAATTTCCCACCCAAAACGTTGACATAATTGAAATAAAACTTTTATTTATTGGTAACGAAAATCCAAAGAAAGTACAGCGGAAGTCTTAGTAAGGGAAATGGGTGTTACCGCCACATCTGGTCATCTCTCAACCGGATGCACAGGCAACTAAAACATAACAACTAATTTAATAAAAATAAAGTGTATGTAAAGTAAATGTTTATTTCATGACTAGTATAACTAAGGCGACTTCTAATTCGCTCTCGGGCCATGCAAGCAGTCATCAATCGACAAAATCATCCTCACCTGCACAAATAAAGTGCAGAAACAAAACAAGGAAAAGAAACAAAAATTAGCTTTAGAGCTAAGTAAGTACTACCCAACCCCGTAAAATAATCATGTTTGACTAAAATAGATCTTTATATAATAATATATAAAAATACACACACCATCGAAATTCTTTTCACTTTGATTTTTCTCAAAACTACTTCTTTACAAAAATCCTCAACTTCTCTTTAAAACTTCATAATAACTCTTCTCTTTGATTTCCTCAAAATCACTTCTTCTCTAACTTCCTAGTAAATTAGAAGGGCGGTGCTCAACCTTTCGGTAGAGCCCGGTGGACCGTGGTTACGGACGACCACCCCGAACAAGTGCCGGTACCACAACTGCTCTGTTGGAAACGAAACGACTACCTTAAGTGTGCACACCCCCTAAAAGGGATTCCAAGCCCCCCGAGTAGTAAGTCGTAACGAGTAGTCGGGACTCAGTCTACCAACTACCCCTGAATAAGATATTTTGAATGACTAGGGACTACTACTACCATAACTTCTTCTTAAAAGGGATCATCGATCCAAATATCACTTTAAACTCAAACTGTACTTCTTAGTAGTAGCAGACCACGGATTAATCCGGACGTGGAAAACCGACACCACGGATTTCTCCCGTGATGCTCACCTCTTATGAAATCATTCTTTTATCTTAAATTAATATACTTCAAAATATTTCTCAACTTCTCAAACTGCTTTAAAAATATTTAGATAAAATATTTACCCCCAAAAGCACTTAGTTTCACGAATCATCTCAGAATCACATGCATAAAAGTCATACTTCACACTTAAAAATCACGTATCACATAATACATATATAATACGAGGAAACGATTTTTGGATTGGCAGAGAAACTTACCTCAAATCACGATAACTCCCAACCGAAACTTCTATGTCGATCTTCTCCAAAAATCACCTTCTAAGAATATTACAATTTCTAATATCAACATCTTATCCAGTTATAGTTTATTTCTTCTATCCTTTGTTTATAAATTCCCCACCTTATTATTCTAGTATAATACAAACTGTTATACGTATGTATTTGTAAAGTCCCCTTTACAAAATTCCCATCTATATAATAGCCCATAAATTATTAATACGTATTAGTCCATAAACTATTATACTCTAAGTTTGAATTAACATTACGGAGTATATATATATACAGAGTACACGTACGTGTTCGTTGTCCTCTTCGTAAACTGGCATCGGCAACGCAGCTACTCGACGGCAGCAGCTTGGTCCGGCGGATCGGTCAAAGACCTCTTCACCCCGGCGAAGACATCAACGTGGTTCCTCCTTCCTCCGTCACCCCCAAATGGCACTCCGGCAGCTCCCTTTGTCCCCGGCTTCACTCCTCCAGATACGATGGTGTAGACTTCTCCGAGAAGCTCCCTCTTCACTTCATCACCGCGGGAGTAATGAAACACCAAATTGTGTTTCGTTTGGTTTCTGCCCTTCGTTCGTACGAATGTACGTGTATTTTTAATACGGAGTACTTCTTAGGTAGCATGTATATTTTCGCAGCTCAGTTTTTGGGGCCATTCATTATTTCGTAGATGGTCATATATATCCGTTAATATGCTTCGAGCTGTGCCGGTTTGTTTTCCAATCTCCGTCGCCCGTTACTAGTCAAGCTTTAAGTGTGTATTTATAGCAATAATGGATGGCCGGGCGTTATGGTTATCATGTAGATATCATTTATGCCATGCGATGTATGTATGAGTGTATTACGTATCTGTATGTATGTAATGTATGTGTAAGTAATGTGTACTACGTCCGTTACTATACACCTAGTCAAGCATTAAACTTTTGTTGCCCGCTATGCATATATATTCATGCATATACGTTAATTGTAAGTATTAATGATGTATGTATGTATGTCATACATGTATGTATCATGATGTGTATTCCGTATGTAGTATGGGTATTACGTACTCCGTATGTAGTAGCTTTTAAAATCACTTCAATAATACTCTATATTTTATTTGAATAGTAATATTTTTAACTTTGTACACGTAATTGTACACTCTACTATACCCAAAGTCTAAGACTTATAAAAAGTACTTTTATTATCAGAATATTATTTAACGTGAGTACTGATAAAGTCATTTAAAATATTCATTTTTATCAAATAGGTTATATCTGATTTGCTTTTATGTTGTTTTATTATTAAATTTCTATTTTAATTTTTTTTAGGGTGTTACATTCTATCCCCCTTAAAGAATGCTTCGTCCTCGAAGCATAAGCTACAACTATTTTATTAATACTGGTTTTTTTTTTCTATCCCCCTTTAAGAGATGCTTAGTCTCAAAGCTTAAACTAAAGTCAAATGACAAAATTCTCAAGTATTACATTCCACCCTCCTTAAAGAGAGGTTACGCCCTCGTAACTAAAATTTTACCTTAATCAAATACTCTGGGTAGCGTTTGCATATATCTTCCTCGGTCTCCCAGGTGGCATTTTCGGCCAAGTGGTTAGACACAAACACTTTCACTATTTTAATCGCTTAACTTCTTTTCTCACAAGTCTCTTAAATACTAAGGCATTCAAAAAGTCCCTACGGTATTTGAACCACAAAGTTCTTCACTAGGTCCATACTAAGCTCTAACACATATAGACATTCAATGATGTCATCAAACTTCATATATTTCACACAAGCAAACAACTACATAAATTTCACAACTCAATCATATAAATCAATAACTTAAAAATCTCGCATCATATTCTCACCGCGTTCCTAACAGGTCTCTCCCTAGTCATTTTCATCTCCTAGTTTTATAAGAATGTTTTCAAAAAAAAAATTCAGAATTCTCCTAGAAAAACCCTTGGAAAACGTTTTGAAAAATCCCCATAAAAAACCTTAGGCTTTGATACCAATTTGTAACACCCCCAAATTTCCCACCCAAAACGTTGATATAATTGAAATAAAACTTTTATTTATTGATAATTAAAATTTAAAGAAAGTACAACGGAAGTCTTAATAAGGGAAATGGGTGTTACCGCCACATCCGGTCATCTCTCAACCGGATGCACAGGCAACTAAAACATAACAACTAATTTAATAAAAATAAAGTGTTTGTAAAGTAAATGTTTATTTCATGACTAGTATCACTAAGGCGACTACTAATTCGCTCTCGGGCCATGCAAGCAATCATCAATCGACAAAATCATCCTCACCTGCACAAATAAAGTGCAGAAACAAAACAAGGAAAAGAAAACAAAAATTAGCTTTAGAGCTAAGTAAGTACTACCCAACCCCGTAAAATAATCATGTTTGACTAAAATAGATCTTTATATAATAATATATAAAAATACTCACACCATCGAAATTCTTTTCACTTTGATTTTTCTCAAAACTACTTCTTTACAAAAATCCTCAACTTCTCTTTAAAACTTCATAATAACTCTTCTCTTTGATTTCCTCAAAAATCACTTCTTCAATAACTTCCTAGTAATTTAGAAGGGCGGTGCTCAACCTTTCGGTAGAGCCCGGTGGATCGTGGTTACGGATGGCCACCCCGAACAAGTGCCGGTACCACAACTGCTCTGTTGGAAACGAAACGACTACCTTAAGTGTGCACACCCCCTAAAAGGGATTCCAAGCCCCCCGAGTAGTAAGTCGTAACGAGTAGTCGGGACTCAGTCTACCAACTACCCCTGAATAAGATATTTTGAATGACTAGGGACTACTACTACCATAACTTCTTCTTAAAAGGGATCATCGATCCAAATATAACTTTAAACTAAAACTGTAATTCTTAGTAGTAGCAGACCTAATCAACCTCCACATTTATCCGGACGTGGAAAACCGACACCACGGATTTCTCCCGTGATGCTCACCTCTTATGAAATCATTCTTTTATCTTAAATTAATATACTTCAAAATATTTCTCAACTTCTCAAACTGCTTTAAAAATATTTAGATAAAATATTTACCCCCAAAAGCACTTAGTTTCACGAATCATCTCAGAATCACATGCATAAAAGTCATACTTCACACTTAAAAATCACGTATCACATAATACATATATAATACGAGGAAACGATTTTTGGATTGGCAGAGAAACTTACCTCAAATCACGATAACTCCCAACCGAAACTTCTATGTCGACCTTCTCCAAAAATCACCTTCTAAGAATATTACAATTTCTAATATCAACATCTTATCCAATTATAGTTTATTTCTTCTATCCTTTGTTTATAAATTCCCCACCTTATTATTCTAGTATTTCACAAACTGTTATACGTATGTATTAGTCCCCTTTACAAAATTCCCATCTATATAATAGCCCATAAATTATTAATACGTATTAGTCCATAAACTATTATACTCTAAGTTTGAATTAACATTACGGAGTATATATATATACAGAGTACACGTACGTGTTCGTTGTCCTCTTCGTAAACTGGCATCGGCAACGCAGCTACTCGACGGCAGCAGCTTGGTCCGGCGGATCGGTCAAAGATCTCTTCACCCCGGCGAAGACATCAACGTGGTTCCTCCTTCCTCCGTCACCCCCAAATGGCACTCCGGCAGCTCCCTTTGTCCCCGGCTTCACTCCTCCAGATACGATGGTGTAGACTTCTCCGAGAAGCTCCCTCTTCACTTCATCACCACGGGAGTAATGAAACACCAAATTGTGTTTCGTTTGG